ACAAATGTTTAAACTCAATTATCTCGAAATGAGATAAATGTAAAAATGGGCCCTTTTAATTGAAGACACCCCATATGAGCTCACATACATATACAATAAATTTAAAGGTATAAAACAAATAAGGACATGGCATGATATGTAACAAAACATTAGCAGAAAGACAACAATGATATGATTCGAATAACAGAACCATTCAAACCCTTGGAGCCATCACATGATTCTATCATTCTAACAGCTGGCCTGCTTCGGCAAGCGGGAAACCACCGGCTATATATTTGCATTAATAGTACTATTTCCTATCTAGTCTGTTACTGTGATTCCCAGCGCAATATCTATTGCTAATTTTCGGGATAATCTAGGTTTCAGCTCCTATTATTCTCTATACGCTCATTATCTCTAATAAAAATTATTTTCTGGCTCTTTGCGCAGCCAGCATTACTCCAAAACTGATAAGCGTGTGTTATGTTTTTCGTGAAGGAAAAATTGTTTACCTTTGCAATTTTTTTTTTATTTTCGTTATTGTCACTAAGTACCGTGTAACATACATTTTCGCTTCTGTGGCGCACCAACCTGGTACACATTTTCCGGATGCCAAATAAAAAATTCTGTGGGTAAATTTGCCTGCTAGATAAAATGGTCAATTGATTTACATCAGCCAATCAGACGAAGCTCTTCTATGCAGAATGAAAAGTTCGTGTAACAATCTTTTTTAAATTGTAACACCAATAAAAACAAGCCTCAACGATGCTTCGACTACCATCACTTTTTGTAGTTAATACAAACTCTTTATGTCTTCGGAACAAACGATCCCAGCAGAACTGCAGCAATATATAGATCAAGCAGTTTCGAAATTACCTAGAAATAGTAGCTGGCCATTTATACAAGGTTTTTTGTTAGGTCAACTTACTATTGTAGTTTTGATTCTCGCTTTTATAAAATTCATGTTGTTGGAAAAAGCCACCAAGCAACAGAAGGTTCGAAATATAACTTTGCTTTTACTAGTTTCAACTAGACATATGAGTTGTATAACGCAAAAATAAATGTTTATAGC